TTTCGCTGGAAAAATCAGTTTTTCCGGTATCTACTTTGCTTTTCTGTTTGAGCTCTATTTTACTATTCACTGATCATTCTTGCTTTTCTGTTCAAGATCTGTTTTGCTATTCATCCTCTATTTTGTTATTCAAGCTTTGTTTAGCATTTTTTGTTTAATATAACATCTACGCTGCATTGTTTTTCTCTTTTACATTGTTATTGTTACTTGGAATGATGATGTAATCTTAAGAATTTTTTGAGCATTTATATTAAATTTATGTGTACATAGATATTATATATGCATATTATAATACTTTTTATATATTTTATTAAATCCGCCATAACCTGCCATGACAACTATCATAACTTTATGGTAGATTTTTTGGTTTCCGCCATGAGCCGCCATCTGCCATTGATAACATTGGAAGTGACCCATTTACATTCTGGTGAGAAGTTTATAATAGATATCAATAGGAACTACTGTAGTTGTAATTTCTGGGATCTAGTGGGCATTCCATGTAGGCATGTTGTGACTACCCTGCAATTCAAAAAATTGGACTTGATAAAGTATGTCGATGACCATTATTCTTGGGATACTTATGTCATGTGTTATGTACACAAGATTATCATCACAAATGGCCACGACATGTGGCCTGAAACTGAATTTGATGAACCCCCCCCCACCCCAAAAAAAATAAAAGGGGTCCTGGAAGACCTAAAAAATTGAGAAGAAAGGAACCTGATGAGATTAATCTAAATCTGACAAGATTGACAAGAGATATTGATAAATATAAGTGTAAAAGATGTGGTGTACATGGTCATAACACAAGAACATGTCCACAGCCAACCAATCCACAACCAACACACTGAAACGACTGAGACAAATGTTGAAAGCTCAGTACCTTCTCCACCTGTAACAGCAGATGCACAACCATCTTTACCAATCTGAAAAAAAATATATGTATTAGCCTCATCATTTCATAGCTTTAGTAAAATTGTTAATGATTTACCTTTACAAGAAAAAATGGTGCCAACAAGACCATGTATGGGACCAACCACAAGATCTAGTGCAAGAGCATAGGGAACATCTACTACTGCAAAGATGAATCAAGCCATTGCTACAGATCTGAATAAAGGGCCAACTCCACCACCTTTATCAACTCCACTAAGTCAACCAACCAAATTTGAATGAAGACTGTGTTTTTTGGGAACCATTTTGGGAGGGAGAATAATACTTTATGTTATATTGTATTGGGAGTAATGTAACTTTATTTTAAACAATGTGCAACAGCTTACTTTAAGTTAGCATTCATGTGAATGAGAACCCTTTTATGGACCACTTTATGTACCTTTTGATTACATTAAGCAATGTGCAGCATGCGCACCTTTTGAGACCATTGTTTTGTATGTTGATGTCTTATTTTCACACATTTTCTAATCTGTTACTCATTACAAAAATAGGGTAGTTATTTACCAAATTTAGAAATTTAAGGTAGTAATATGAAAAAATTGAATTATAGAGGTAGTTAAACATAAATGGTTCATATTTATACGTAATGTTATACAACACTCAATTTATGGAGGTAGTTAATAAGTAATCACAACAGTACATTGATTGTGAATTGTTGTCAAATCATAATCAATTTTTACAGTAAATACAATCAAATTCAACAGGCTGAACAGAACAAAAAACACAGTGAACAAAGTCACGAGCAGAAATCTTTGATAAATGCCTTCTATACTTGATCCTATAATGTAATTCATGAATGATAATTGAGATTTTTGAGCTATTCAGTGAGAGAATTTGTTATTAAGTACATTTTATTCATATTTTAGGAAAAAGGATCAAGCAGTGGGAGCTTAAAAGATATTGAAAATTGAAGTAAGAGAAGAACCAGAGATATACACGGGTAAGTACACGCCCGTGTATATGAATGTGTACCTCACTGGTCCCATCAATTGAAGCACATAATCAGACCAGAGATATATACGGGCAAGTAGACGCCCTTGTATATAAACGTGTACCTCACTGGTCACGTCAATTGAAGCACATCATTAAAACGAGAGATATACACGATCGAAGTACATGACTGTGTATATGGCCGTATACTTTTCAGAAAAGCTGTGAAGGGTAAATATTAGAGACTAAAGATGTACATGGTCAAAGTACATGGCCATGTATATTGGGCGTGTACTTTTAATGTACGTCAGAATTAAACTTTTGTGAGAAAATGATCCCTTGATAATGAAGGAAGTAAATCTTAGTAATAGTCCTTGTGGATACGACACTTGGTACTCTACTTTTTTCTTTTTTTTGTAATATTACTCTGACAATGGGTGCACTTGCCCAATACTCGATTTTTATACACCAATCTTATGTCATTGAATTCATTAAATCATATTCAAAACAACTTTCACTCCATTGAATTACAAACTATCAACATTTAAAACTTTCCTACCAACAACATTCATTGCTACTATAATCCTCACAATGGTAATGAAAAACCAAAGTACAATCACTAAACATCCTAAAATCTTTACCCTATTCCTCTCAACAACAATCTTTTTCTTTTTGTGGGATATTTTAAGCTTCATTAATGCAAGTTGTTGATAGAGATCATGACATTCTTGCCTTCAACTCTTAAATTGTATAATTTTTTTTTTGACATAACAGACTCATTATCCTCATCTACAAGATCTTCAACCCAACGAAAATAATTGCAAGAATTAGGTTCTTGCAAACTAAATACAAACAAATTTGTAAACATAATCACAAATCCAGAACAAATACAACCAGTTGAACTTACATTCCAACCAGAGTATTTCCAAAACCTTCTACCTGGATTATTCTTGCTTTGTGAAGTCAAAATTATAGCGGGCTTCTTACATTTACAAGTTACAACTTGTGAAGAAGATGAGCACGATAAACCATTCACACTACTCATTTCGTCAAGACAAAGAATCAAAATAGAACCCGAGATGGATAACGACAACACACGATAGAAAATCCTAACCTTCTTTTTCCTTTTCAGTTTCTTCTTCCTTTCAAGTTTGTCTTCAACGTCTTCATTATGTGCTTCTTCTTTAATTAGGGCTTTAGATTTAGCTCTTTTTCCCTCACATCACCTAAAACGCAACGTTTAGATTAAAATTTAAAAATATTGATGTGAAATCCTGATGATGTGGCTTAATGGTAAAGTGAATTAGAGAGATTGACGATGATGTGACAAACTGTTAGCCATGTCACCATTTAATTGACAGAGATTAACGTTAGGTATAAAATTAAAAAAAAATTAGTTAAATATTAAAATAAAAAAAATTCTGAGGTAGTTTTTTGAAATAAACTCTATTTGAAGATAGTTATAAGGTATTTAAACCTAAAAAATATTCTTAAATAATGATGAAATCATGAATTCTCTATTTTTTTAAAGATAAAAAGTGCTTAAATTTAAAATTTAAAATATTAAATTTAAAAAATGATATTTAATAAATAAAAAATTAATATAAAAAAATTTATCTGACTCAAATAAGAAAGAATAATTATAATTGACATGAAAAATCTCAACTCAAATTTAGAATAAACTTAAATATTTAATTTATTAAAGTACTTATTGAATATAAAATATGAATTTTGATGAATACAATTGGATCTTATCTTGGGACGAAAACAAAATCTTATCTGTTCTTGGAAAGGTGACCTTTCCCAAAGGTTACGGTGTTTCCTCGGCCGGCCTCTTCTATTTTCTTTTCTATTCTTTTCAATTCAATTCAATTCCTGCAGCTTCCACCTGTGCTTTTGCACTCATCCCTCATCTAGAAATCATCATTTTCAACAATGAACTATTATTTTACATTAAACCCCATTGATCCACACTTCATCAATTCCAAAATGTATTAATGTTTTATGGGATATCATAATTTTGATAACTTAATCATTTTTTATTTTTTCAAAATAAATAAATTAATGAACAATTTATAATTTATACTTTTTTTTTAATCAGAACATGATCTCTCAAAGTAAAACTCACCTCAATAATTTTTACATTCTTAAAAAGTAAACTTCGTCCATGGACTAAGATATACTTTAATACTCACTAAAATATCCTAAATTCATATCCAAACCAAATGTCGATGATTATTAATTAATTATATTTCAATCTGTTTAAACATTTATTACCAATAATCATTTCGTTACTAAAAAAGTTATCATTAAGAATATTTATAAAATAGATTTTTAAATATTTTTAAATAATGAATGATTAAATAATGGTACAAATTTTTTGAATTAAATTATCTGCTTAATCAAAAAATTCCTACTTCTATATATTAAATCAATCTTTATTCTTAAATAATGATATTTTTAAAGTTATTTTAAATAAGAATGCTTTTAACAGCTATTTTTCTTATTACTGCATTGAGTAGTTGGTTGCTTTAATTTTTTTTTTATCTTTTTAATTTAATCTTATTTAATATTATTTTTATTCTCATTTATCTATCTAAAGATTTTTTTTATCTGTTGACATAAAAATTTAAAATAATATTAATCATCATTATTTTGTATAATATACTACTCTTCTGTTACTATCCTTTTAATTATTTATAATATATATTATTTAAGTAGTTCAAGAATAAAAAAAGAATTTCATTAATAAAAAGTAAATGGATAAGTTTAATAATTAATTTCAGTAAAATGATTAAATTTTTTAGTCTGTATAATTATTTCTTTACTCCGACAGATAAATAAAAATATGTAATATAATATTTATTATTAATAATAAATTATATTTTAAATTTATAATTTTTCAATTTAAAACAATAAAATATAATATGTGTTTATTTTTTATTTAAAAATTTATTTTAATTCAACAATATTTATACAGTCTTAAAAAATTTACTAATATTTTGAATTGTTAAATTTGACTTAAATCTTGTAATATAATAATTAGAATTTTAAGTTAACGATATGCACAATTACATTATGCGCTGGATATTTATAGGAATGGAATGGCATGATATTTAGATTAGGATTCAAAGTCCAAAAGAATCTAAAATTATCATCACATACACATCCATACATCCACTTCTAATTATATATTAGAACACCAACTTATCATTCATCACTAACATCCGTTCCTCAAAAGTCTCAAACCCTATCCTTTCAGTTACTCTGCAACATCATCACGAACCAACCCATTTACATTCCCTCACACCGAACCCCAAGAAAGAGAGCAAAACACAACAAAAACATCATTTTTAACCTTGTTCAATGGAAAACTGTGTCTGGCAGCAGCACCACCACCTTAGGACTATGGTCACTTTTCCATCTCCAACACCATCATCGTCATCATCATCATCACTCAAACCCCACTTGAGATTCTTGCCCAGAAAACATGTGGGTTATGGCAAAGGCATGAGGGTGAGAGCGAGTGGAGGAAGAAGGCACTGCGATTTCAGCAGCATAAACGCACCCCTTGAGCCAAAGTCACTTGTGGGGAAGTTTCTCAGTGGTGTGTTTCAGAATCACCGCCAATTGTTCCACGTTGTTGCCAAGGAAGAACTCAAGCTCTTGAGTGATGACAGAGACTCTGCTGTTGCTCGCATGCTTCTCACCCATCACTCTGATGAAGCCTTGCTTCACAGGTTCCTCACCAATTTCAATTATGCCTTCTTTTTTCTCTTTTCACCATACTGTTTTTCTGAACCTGCTTTTTGTGTGTGTATCTTGTTTGTAATCAAAATGCACGTGCATGTGTTTTTTAAATAAGTAAGTTTGAATTACTGAGGGTAATTGAGATATGTGTCAAAATTAATTTTTTGATAGTTTTTATTTATTTTATTGGAAGATGTGTTTTTCGATAGCAAGAATTGATTTTTCAATTATAAGCCAAATTGCACACTTGGTTGGGATGTAATTTTTTTTTTTTTCATAAAGCATATGACTTAGAGAAGAAATTTGCTATTTAGTTAAATTTTGGCCATTCCGTGTGGAAATTTCAGTGTCAGTGTCTTGTCCCTTAAATTTCACTCCTCCCTACCTACTGATTATATATTATATATAAACTTGTCATATCTTTATATGGGGTTTTTGTTTTTGTTCTTAGATGTAGATGTATTTATGTGAGGCATTTGACTTAGTATCTATGTGAGGTTGAAGCTACTTGTGTAGGCTGACCTCATATTTAAGGTAGAAGGTTGTGCTGAATTTTCCTCTAAACTGGTAGAGGCTAGTGATAATGAATGTTAACAAACGGTGAACAAAACTTCTGATGATCCTTGACAGGCTTATATGGTTTGTTTTATGGCCACCTTTACTGTGCCTTTTAATCTTTTCTTTTGAGAGAAAGGAATTTTTATCATAGAGGAAAGAGAGAGATTACTACTAAAGGGTGGATGAGATTTTCCCCAAAAAGAGAAAAGAACAAAAAATGAATCAAGAGCAGCCTACAAATATCTGAGATGACAACTCCCTTGAAATAGAGATGAGTAGAATACCAAAGAAAAGTCTAAGACTATCTTATCACATAGGATGTTGACAAGTACAGACACTTTTGATGATTTGAATTTCATCTTATAAATTCGCACAGTATTGGCATATTTTGATGATATTGTTCATTCAATAAACACTGATGGTCATTAGATGGTGAGTTGGTTTTGTGTTCAGAATTGAGGCAGATAACTGCAAACTAGATTTGTACTTGTTATGTCAAGTTTGGATTGCTTTGGTCTACTAACCAGAGAAACATATAATGGATGATTTCATTTTCTTTTCTGAATTCTAGAGAACTAGAATGAGTACAAATAAAGTTTTCCTGTACCATTAAAATGTTCGATAGTTGTCTTTACGACATAGAGATTGGCCTAATTATTCTCACTAGTTTTATTGAGCCATATACTGTACTGAAGGCACGCCAACTATTTCAGAAAATATTAGAGTGCATTCTTGTAAATTGTAAGAATAACGATTTAGTTTACACCTCTTCCTTATTTCAAAGGAATCTTACATTAGTAACTTTTCTATAATCATCCAACAAGATTGATTTTCTTTTAGAAAGTCAATTGCACAAGTAGGATTTCATCTGCTGATCATTTTGGTCACCTATGTTTTAAGAACTTTTGAAAGGAGCTTGTAAAAGATGTCTTGATTCTTGTCATGTTTTTCCTCGTTGTTTCCATGTATTATATAATATTAGGACATAATGGTTGGGCATCAATCACTTGTTGTAATCAATGCTACATTCATCTATGTGATTATTCGTTTGGTCTATCAGTAGAGATAACAACATTAACTTTTTCTGTATAGGATTTTGTATTATCTGTTATGTTTGACCTCAAACCCAGGAGTCTGATCAGTGTTTTATCAAAATATTACTCTTTGAAAAGCACAGGATTTGAGAAGGCTTTTGTTTTCAATTCCATCATTTCCATATACATTTGTTTGCTATCGAGATCTAAGACACTTGAAACTTTCATATATAAATGATTGTTGTCACTTTTCATATTCTTCAACATTTGCTTGTTCATCAGGAAAAAAAAAATATAAGATAAAATTGAAAGATAATGTTTAAAATGGGCTGTTTTCCTTAAGAAATTGTTTTCATTTTTAATTACTAAGATAGATGGCTAGATAATAATTAGATGGCTTGATAATAGCTTTCACTTTCCATTTATATATGTGTGCTAGAAATTGGAGTTCCGAGTGACAGTATTTCTTTACTTACACTTTCTTCTTCATTTAAATGTTTCTTTGAGTGTGCTAAGGTTCTCTTCATCCCCTGCTGGAAGTAGATTATTTTGGTGAGCCTGTTCCCTGGTGTTTCAACTAACCAAAATGTAGCTGTTCTTAGTTGGGTATTTTTGGCAGTACCTCACATTTGGTTGAAAGCTATTTGGTTTAGAAATTAGCGGCCATAACTGATTACAAGATTTTAAGTTGTTTCTTTAGAATCATCTGCTGCAGTGCACACCATACCTTAGAACTTTGTGCATTAACAATAATGGAAAATACATAATACTATAAAAACTGGTGGATATTCATTTAATAATGTGTTGACTTAAAAGTTTTCTGAATGCCAGGAGGATTGCACAAGTGAAAGAGAATGAGTGTATGCTTGCTATAGAAGATGTTATGTATTTGCTGATTTTATACAAGTTTTCTGAGATTAGGGTCCATTTAGTTCCAAAGCTTTCTAGTTGCCTATACAATGGAAGGCTAGAGATATTGCCTTCTAAGGACTGGGATCTGGAGTCTATTCACTGTGTAGAGGTCTTGGATATCATTAGGGATCACGTCAACACTGTAACGGGCTTGAAACCAAATTCTAGTGTGAAGGAGAGTTGGGCGACGACTTCGATCAGACAGTTCTGGTTAGCCCGAGTCTATGTCGCCTCCATATTATATGGTTACTTTTTGAAGTCAGTTTCGTTAAGGTATCACCTAGAACGAAGCCTGTCTTTGTCTAATGATCTTCATCATGGTCATAGGACTCACCCATCATTTCATGATATGTGTCGTTACAATTCCAACCATGTGGCCCTTGGCCAAAAGGGTGACATACAATCTGTGTGGAATGGTTTAATCAGGCATGAAGAGGGAGTTGAAGATTTGAAGTGTTATGCTATGGGGTTTCACCCTGGATCATTGCAAAGATGCGCCAAACTGAGATCTAAGGAAGCTGTGCATTTGGTAGAGTCTCATAGTCATGCACTTTTTGGGAATGGAGAAGAATCTGGTTTTAAAGAGCATGATGTTATTTTAACTTCATATTCTAGTCTGAGGAGGCTAGTTTTGGAAGCTGTTGCATTTGGATCTTTCCTCTGGGAGACAGAAGATTACATTGACAATATATATAAGCTTAATGATCATGAAGTAGTATAGTATTAAGCAAGTTTTGCTAAATAAATTCCCACTGTTAGGAGATTTTGTGTGTATATAAAGTGAGTTAGTTTTGGGTTAAGTTTATATTGTATAGTATGGTAAATCTAAATAATGTACAGTTTAGTTGCTTGGTTGATTAGCTGAGAAATTTTTGAGATTGATAGTTTAAATAAACACAAAGTTGTTCACTGTATATGGATCTATGTTTAAATTTTGTGCAAAACAGAAAAAAGAAAATGCTTCTTACATTTCATATTACATGGCTTTTTAAGGTTTGTACAATTGGGATATTTGCTGGTTATGATGTCTTTATGAAAAGCAGAATACTTCTTAGGTCTCTTATTACATGTTTTAGGTATCTTGCATAAAAATATTTCTCAATTTAAAAAATTAAGCATGAATTAATTTTTTTGTAATTTTTTTCGTTTTTTGGAATCTCATTTAAATCTTTAAATGATTCACAATTAATCTTTTTTTTAACAAGGATATTTTTTGTCAAAACTATTTTATTATGTAATTAATATTTTTTTAAGAAATGAAATTGAATTGTTTCAATAAAATTATAACTTATAAAGTTATAATTTATGGAATTGAATTTTGAAATTTAAAAGAAATGAAAGTATATATATTATATTATATTCACATCAACTTATGTTGTATTATATATTTTAAATTGGATGTTAGATAGGTACATTAGCAAATTACTAAAAAAGTACCATATAAAAAAACATTTTTTAGAGAATTTGTTTGACAAAATTTAAAATAATGGATTAAATAAAAAAATTACAAACATTTGAAAAACTAAAATATAATTTAAATCTTAACATATTGTAGAATACTTAAATTAAATATTGGCTTATAAAAATTGTTTTTTTCTATTGCATTAAAAATGTAGTCTCTAATAAATTAAGTTAATAAAAAAGTCCCTAATTTAAGAAAAAAAAGGTTGATAAAAAACGAAATACATAATTATTAAAAATGATAGAATATTACATAATTTAATGTATTAATATTATAATTTTAAGTAAAACATTATTATTGATTAATTTTTATCATATATTTTAATACATATTAAAAAATTGTTTAAATAAAAAACAATGTAGGACAGAGGTATATATATGAAGTGGATGGTCATCCAAGAACCGTTATTTATTTAAAATTTTATGCATCTATCCTAAGTCGACTGCTTTGACAGATGTGCATGTAATATTTATATGGAAAAAGCCAAATTCATTTGTTTAAAACAAAAACGACAGCGTTTAAAATAATTCTTTATTTTAAAGTAAATAAAAATAAAAACCAAATCGCAGACGACCCTATCAGATGTAAAAGCCTCAGATACGCCGGATCAGTTCATTTTGGAAAAATAAAAAATCATACTATTTAGGGATTATTTTTCTTACAGAAGATATTTAAAAAATAATATATACGATTTTTTAAAAAAATTATGAGAATATAAAATTTAAAAATTGCTATTGTGATTTTTAATATAGATACAAAATTTTAAAATAAAAATAATAAAATTTTAAAAATTGCTAATATAACAATTTTTTTTAAAAAATTAATTAATATAATAATAATAATAATATTTAAAAATCACTAAGCCAATTTGTCTCTTTACAATCAATTCAGGACTAATTGAAGCTATTTTTCATCAACTTTGAAATCAACCAATTATTTTTTGAGTTAAATAGATCAAATACCACGATTCACTATTTTTGCAATTGAATCAACTAACCCATCTAATTCTTTCAATGTAGGAACTAGATTCAGAATTCATCCTTTAATTATAAATTTTTTAATCTCATTTAATTAAGAACATACTAAACTGTTCTACAAGTTAGGTACTGCCAAATTATGATGTTAGACATTTGATTCCGCAGCTGGTCATATTGTTATTGTGCATTCACCAATTAGATCACACACATATCTGTGTTGGACCTCATTATTGCCAATACACATAGATTTTCCTCATTAATACATACATTAAGTGGAGTTGCTTCAAAGCATATCGCAAACAACTTGTTTCTAAAGTAATGACTAAAGTTATATAGAAATTTTAAATTATATTAGTTATTGTTTTTTAATTAATATTTTTTTTCAAATAAAATATTGAAATATACTAATCATTGTTCTTAAGATATTGGTTAAGAAATTAAAAGTAATACATAAATAAATACACATTCGTGATTTTCAATATAATTAAAAAATTGGTATTTATTAATTCTTTAAATAAAAGTACATAGTTAGCAAAACTCTAAAATATTTATATTATCTAAATAGTATAAGAGCCAAAATGAGATCAACTAATAAATGATAATTTAAAATATTGAATAATAAATTTTAATAAAATAATTAGATTCCTCGATCTGAACAAGTTTTTAAAATAAGAACTGAACTAATAATAATTTCAATGCTTCATCCTTGCAAGTTTCTTACATGACGCGTGCGTAAGAGAAAACTAGTTCCTTAGCTTGTTCCTTGAAGCTTCTCAAACCAATAGGCTTCAAGAGTTTACTTGCTGTATAAATTACTTATATATAAAATATGACTTTGAAACCTTCAATTCCCTGAAACTTTATAATATTTTGAGGTATAATTGTGTATAGAGCTTTGATTTTGCTTTCTTTGCTAACCTTGCTGCATCAAGTTCAATTCCTTGTTCAAATGTTGGTTCTTCTTCTGAAACCATTAACGTTCCTTGTAGTAACCTTATGGAGTCTGTTAACGCGTGTAATATTCAACACTATTGCTTGCACAATTGTGTTGCTACTCCAAGGTCTCAAAGGATCTGGTGAAGGATCACTTGGGATATTTCAACAAGTTGCAGAGGGCCTAAAGGGGTGTTTTGAGTTCATCCTTAAACTAATAATTGATTTAATACATTTAGTAATTTCTAAAGTGTTTGATGTTCTTAAAGATAGCATCACAGGATCAGTGGCTGCGACAGGATCTGTGGCTGCAGATCTTGGAGAGAAACTCAGGACTTCAATTGATGAGGCTTTGAAGCAGGTGCCAGAGCTGTTTCAGGAATTCTCAAACATGACATCAAAGATGGTAACAGAATTGTGGAACAATTATAAGGATGCTGTGGGTTATGTTACAGAGAATGCATGAGTTTTGAGGTTAATTTTACATGATTTGCTAGTATTATCTTTCAGCTAGTAACAATGATATGTATATTTCTTAATGTCTTGCTGGTTTTCAGTTGGCTCGGTGCCACCAATTGAATCATATTGCTGCAGTTGTATAGAGTTTCTTTCTTTTTTGCAACATTATTTTGTATTTGCGCATGAATTGTTCTGGAATTTACGATAAACTAGAATAGAGAAAGATTTGAATAGCACAAACCAGCTTCTCTTAGCAGAGAAGTTCAATTTAGTTGAGTCTTAGGTAAAACGAAAGTCCCAAGTTGTATTTTCCTAGTTCGTAGGAGGTAGTTGCAGTAATTGCACGTTATTCAGTAGTCATGAACAAAAAAGATAAGAAAAGCAATCTCATCTCTTGTTCCTTAGTTATCAAAGCATTGGTGTGGAAAAAGAATTAATTTCAAGAATTATAGTATCATGTAGAAAAAGTTTTTTGACAATATAAGATAAAAATATTATAGTTATAAAATTAAGTTAAAATAATTTTTAAATAAAATTGTTGTTTAAAATAATTTTACTATATATATAATTATTTACGAAAATACGAGGGGCTACTAAACCTTTGATTGACAGAAGCTAAGGAAAAGTTTATTGTCCAGCCAAGGCGTGTTTTATTTCCGAAAACAAGCCATTAGAAAGTAAAAACCTTTCTGTTTTATTAATCTCTCATAGCCTCTTCCGTCTCTGTGAGGCGAGGAAGGCTATCAAAAGGCAATGTTAGAAAGAGAATAGAGAAGAAGCTTACAAATATGAGAGAGTTCTTATTTAACAAAGCACTAAAAGCCTTTTACTTATTTTTATTAAATCCGTCGAAACAAAATGATAGTAAATTTTTATGACAGTTCCTTTCTTTCTTTTTTGTTTTTGTTTTTATTTTATTTTATTTTATTTTAAGATAGTTCTCTAGAATACATGAGTTGTATTTTTTAATATTTTTATTAATTTTATAAATACAACACATTTTATAATAATTTTTTATAAAATTTTTATTAAAATTTAAATTTAAAATATTAAAAAATTCATATTCAGTGTCAACTCTTAAAACGGGTAAATCTTTAAACAACTTTAAATTTTTTTAATTTAATTTTTTTATTTAACTTTTATATAAAATAATTTATTTTATTGAGTTAAAAAATATTGTAGTAAGTTTCAAACTTAATACTTATCCTACTTAATAATTTTTATTAGATGTTACAATGATATGTCAGTTTGAAATTTTTTATCAAATAGATTAATTTTGTAAAATTTTATATAAAAATAAAAATAATAAATATCCTGCTATATTACTTTATTTAATAGATATTATATATATTTTTAAAATATAAATAAATATTAAATTTAAAATAACATACCTACAAATATTTAAAATTATATGAGATTTAATATATATAATGATAAACATAATATAAGATGAATTAATAGTTAAACTAATTAATTTTATATTTTACAACAAATTATTACATAAGTATCTAAATTTAACAAAAATCTTAGCTCTAGTTTATTTTATTTGTTTTGTTAACTATAAGTTTTTACTAAATATCCTATACTATATGCCAGTTTATGAAGTCAAAGAATACGACTAAAATATCAATACAATGCAATTTATTCAATTCTTTAATGTACACTAAATTTTAATACAAGTTACATTATTTTCATGGTACTTAATAAAAATTCGTATCTCTTTGATGATATCATAGCTGAGAATTTAACATATATTAACTGTACATGACAAATTATAGGTACTAACTCACGTATAAAAAACTATGTCTCTAAATGACATGCCAATGCGTTCAAAGCCAGGTTTTTCTTTTTTAGTAATAGTGCAAGTTTGACCTATGTTTATTTTAACTTAAGAGTTCATTTAATTAATTTTTCTTTTTGAAAACAAGTAATTTTAAGACAGCATGAATCTTTCAAAAAAAAAAGTTGAATTTATTATTAGTGTTTATAAATTATTTTTTCAATCCTATCATTTTATTAATATTATTTGAAACAATGAAATTTAGTTTTTTTAAAATATAAGGAACCTATAAGATATATAATATTTTAATATGATTTCCGTTTTATTTTAAACATTAAACAAATTAAGTAAAATTATATTAATTAATCATACTTTTATCAATTAGGAAATGATGCTATATTCATTGAATATATTATATTAATTTTTTTTTTTGGTAAATATAATATACGAGTATTAAATATATGACCTTTCATGTCTATAATATATATATATATATATATATATAAGTATAATTGACTGAACAGTAACATTAAATATTATTATTTATTTAATAATATGTAATGTTAAGTTCTATCTCCATTGAATATAATGCATTGGATATTCCTTTTGAAAATGTTATATATGTTCATTAAAGGTTTAATTTGTTGTTTTTGTAAATAGTAAAAAAAATGCATTATAAAAAATAAAAAATTAATATGTAAAAATAAATAATGTTTAAGTTAGATTATGAATATATAATTTTTTAAGTAAATCAATATTCATTTAATTTGCATTATTTTGAAAATGGTTTGATGTATAACAATATCTAAAATTTAGAGTAACCCAAAATGTTCATTTAAAAAAACAACTAAACGTATAAATTAAGACATAAATTATTGTATGTATTTACTATTTAATATGTATTATATTAATATGAAATAAATTTATAATATGAACTCTGCTAGATATAAATATTATATTATCCTCTTTTTTAATATAAAAATATTGTGTGTTTCACTTAATTTTACAGTGTTAAAAATATTTTTTAATGATATATATGAATATATTATTTTTAATTTTTAAATATTTATTATTTATTCTTTTTATAAAAATTGCAGAATTTTGCTCACAAAATTACCACTAAATTTCACAATTTTTTTTATGGTAGTTAAGTAAAACTGTCTCTAAATTTCATATTTTTTTTACGATTAATAAAATTAATTTTTTTCGACAATTACTAAAATGGATATTAAATATTATTATTTAAATATTTTGCTCGTAATTATTGTTAACCGACTGATGAACCAATATTAAATATTGTATTTTTTTGTAGTGACATAGTCTAATGTTTACTTGCATGTTTTTATTTTTAAATTTTTTTTTATGCTCTATATTTTATTTAATTATCAAATCATTTACATCTTTTATGTTTAAATCAAAAGTGAAAATTTTTCTAATTTTATTTTTATTTTTAATTTCAAGATAAGCCTTTAAAACTCTTATAATAATAGCAAATACTTACTAAGTCAAAAAATATATTGAGCTGATTGAGTTTTTTTTTTTTTTCTAATTAACAAAAAAAAGTATAAAATTTATCAAAAAATTATTTTAGTAACAAATGTATTATTGATGCTCTAATGAAAAATCTTAAATGAATTAAATTGTGATGCCTTTTAGTATTTTAAGGGAAAGAGCACATTTTATTTACTTATTTTTCCCTCCCTCCAATTATAATATATATATATATATATATATATATATATAAAAGAATATATATAATATTTAATTTTTTTTAATTTTTATAAATAATTAGATATAATAAAAAATATTAACTTAATTCTATAATCATAAAATATAACATAATAAATATTGTTTTTATAAATTCATATATGAATATTCATAAAAAATATAAAAATATATATAAGATAATAATAAAATTAAGCAATAAATTTTATTTTTAAAATATAAAAGGAAATAAAAAATTAAGTTAAAATTAAACTAATTGCACACATCACTGAAATCAATCTGTCTTATTTTTTAGATAAAATACTGTAATTTATAATATAAAGTTAACAAAATATTAATATAATGTTAGATTATAATTATAATATTAAAAATATAATAATAAATAATTATTTATTATTACAATAAAAAATATGATAATAAAAATATCATAATATATATTTCTTTAAATATAATTTAAATTAATTTTTATCTAATATTTTTATATTATAAAGTGATATTCATGAATGTCTTAAAAATTAAAACTAAATAATTTATGATTATAATTTTTAATATTATCAATAAATTAGAATATATAATAGGCATAAAATTTAAAATGATAGTTAAATAACAATATAAAAAATATTTTATCATATCAATAATTTTTAATTTATTATATTTTATAATAATTCTTTATCATAAATTATTATAAATAAAATTAATTTTATCACAAAGATCTGTAAAAAAAATCAGACTTTACTCATTTTAGCTTTACCTACTATAATTCACTACATGCCATGGGACAACTTAAATGGACTGACCAGCTCGCTTTGCCACTTCTAAAATTTAGCTATTAAATTTTAATATTAGTTATCTTAATAATATATTTTAAATAATTTTAGAAAATATATATTTATTAAACATAAGTTGCATTTAATAAAATTCTAATAAATATATTTATATACAATGACTATAATATTTAAATAAATTATATAGTTTATTTAACAAATACAATATTTAATGCCGTAATATTTATTTTTACTTTTTTTTTTATATAGATATAGATTACGGTGAAAGCAATGCGACACGTGGGATTGTTTATTTGTGGCGGCAAATTACCTTGACACACGCGATGCGATTACTTGTCTTCTTCTCATCCCCACGTTGTTTTTTGATAGGCTTCTCATCCCCACGTTAGCTTTAGCTTTCTTTCTTTCTTCTTCTTTCTGTGACTGTGCTACTCTAATTCTTGCTCCCCAAATTGTGCTACACACTACAACACGTTCTTTGCTCATTTGCTGTAGATATGGGAAAGCACATGCATGCGGTTCAGTACAATTGCTACGGTGAAGGACCCTCTGGCATCAAGGTTCCTATTATATTTCACATCTCTTTTTTTTTTTTTTTACTGTTGAAACCTTTTGGTTAATTCCTTCTATGCTGTACCAAGACTGCAAAACAAAAGTAGGCAATTCTTTGGTTTTACGAACACTGACGTTGTGTTTCAAACAATGTTTCTGTTGAAATGAATTGAGTATTGATTCTTACCAGAGAACACAGTGCGAGAGATTGAGAAAATGGCTTCATGGACCGATTTATGAATTGATAATTATATTTTGTAATTTGACTATTCTAAAATTAAAAAATAGAGAATAAAATGTCGTTATAATAATTGATTTTTTCTTTCTCTTTTTGTGGAAAGGACCTTGACTTCTTTCGATCCTATCTTGATCTTCTCTTTGTTTAGGACTGTGTCATTGTAGACTGAACCCTCTTCAAAAATGTTCCTTCTCTTCATGGTAATCTATGTGGCACGAGTATGAGTATCACATTTGATATGATATAACACGATATGTAAAAATGATAACATATATAAAAAAAATGAAGACATAGGTATAGCAAAATTTATCAAGTAAAATATTTTTTTTTAATATTTTATTAATATCACTAATATTGTATATTGGACTTGAAATTCTGGAAAAAAATTATTTAAAAAGTATAATTATAATAAAATTTAACTAAAAATATAATTAATGGGAAACTTCCTTGTCCTAAGATTACATATTTGGTTGTCAAAATCTACTGGGTTACAGGGTGTTCCTTGGACCATGTAACCAAGAAAAGACTTGGTTGTTTTTGCCTTTGTTATATACAATGGGCCAGATTGGGTAAGCTTTTGTAAGAGAAAAAAATAATATTAAAAATAAATAAAAGCTTTTTTATAAGTTAAAAATAGCTTATATTTCTCAAGTTTTAAAAAAAATTAAATGAAAGAACTTTTAAAAAAACAGAGAAGTATAAGTTGATATTAACTTGTGAAAAATATTTGATTTATTTTATTACTTAATTTTAAACTTGTATGAATACATGTTGCAAATTTTATCCTAACTGGGTCAATTTCCCTTTTGGACAATCCTTTTGTGCTTGTCTCTATCAATTGTCAAAATAAAAATAAATCTTCAGCAGCATTGTTTACCTTGCTCCTCAGTCATCATCCAACACATGGTTTATCTGTGAATTAAGAGTGATGGTTTTTGGAGGTTCTTGGTGGCCTCTCATGATGCTTTGTTCAGCTCAATGGGAGGTGTTCTTGTAAGAAATATTTCGAAGTCCAAGTCAGAATAATTGACCAGAGTAGGGGTTTAGTACATAAAGGTTGCGTATCTGAGTCAAGAAATTCCCTTTTTATATAGGTATCGGTGGTCCTAAGGATGAGATTGTCATTTTCTATACTTGATGTCGTAATTGTCAGGCAAGACATGCATTTAGTGCTTGTACGGTGTGTCATGACATGTCCAATAAAACTAACATTTGTCAGAAATGTTAGATAGTGGGGTATGTGTATCACAGTTAGACCACTTGGGTTGCAGCTGAATTCGAGATGAATTTGGACTAGCCCATGGTGGATAAGGGTTTTAGTAGCTGATGTGATGGCGAGGTTGAATGTATGACTGTGGTCCATGGTGAGTTTCACTTCTGCCCTTGGATCTTAGTGGAGTGATGACGGTTATGCTATTTTGATCAGGGTCAAGTATCTTACGCCGGATCAAGTGACATACAAGTTTTTTTGGGGTTAGCAGCTTCGAAACAATAACTAAGAATCTTGCCCTCCATTTCTCTATCTAATATCTATAGAATAAAACATTATTATGACTTTATCAGTGCACCCTTCTTGTTGCCTGTGAAAAAAATGTTCAATCTAATGCAGCGAAGGCATTTTATTTGAACTTATGTGTGTAGAAAGCATCAAAGACATAAAGAAGTGTGAGTACATTACGATGCTTTATAATTTATGTTTTATACTTATTTCAGCATGTTGAAGTTCCCGTACCCACTCCCAGTAAAGATGAGGTTTTGATTAAATTGGAAGCAGCTAGTATAAATCCATTTGATTGGAAAGTACAGAAAGGCATGTTGTGGCCACTTCTTCCTCGGAAGTTCCCATATATACCTGGTAGCTTCCTTTCCTTTACCTCTCTCTCTAGGTATTCATTTTTGTTAGAGAGATTTTAGTATTTCATAGTTAAACAGGCATCTTCACCTTTAGAACTTTACAGCAAATTCTTTTAGTAATATTTTCATGCAGTTATCTTGGACAAGAATCTGTTGAATATCTGTCTCTTCTTATAACTGTGTAAAATTTGTTGTGTGATGATCTTATGCTCTTTTAAAATACTGTCTATCCCTTCTGTTTCAATGCCTTTCTCTCATCCTCATAGTCCATTACTACTGTTTTGAATGCGTAACTGCTTAATCAAATCATGTAGTCATGCATTAGATTTTATTGGTTTATATAATTTGCAATAGATCTCACTTTGCAATTGCACTACTAAAAATCGAGAATCAGATAGCGCAATAGATGAAATTGTTTTCAAATTATTTGCATTGTACAAGTTTTACTCAAATCTTCTCCGATTGTTGAAACTGGATTTGAATTACAATGTAGTTTACAGCCTGAGTTACTGAATCATTTACAGTTTTACTTTATCTTATGTATCCCAAATCTTTAGAGTACTATGTTGAAGGTACTACATTCTGTAATAGGCACTGATGTAGCAGGCGAGGTCATGGAGGTTGGTCAACGTGTCCAAAAGTTCAAACCGGGTGACAAAGTTGTAGCCATCGTTAACCCGTTAGTAAGTTGTCATGTATATTAGAAAAGAATACTACTAGTATCCAGTCTCTTCCATAGGTCTATCAACATCATTTCTTTGAAGTTAATTCGATCTTCCACTCTGCGCCAAAATTTTCTTAATCTTCCGTTTTAACTTTACAGTATTTTCTATGATCATAATGTTTAAGTTGAATTCTTGCATTTTAAGAGCCCAAAAAAAAAATGATTTATGGAAGAAGTTATCTTAATTTAAATCCAAAGATACTGTCTTACATCGCTAATTACTGTTAAGGCATTAAGTCTTATGTTAATATGTTAGTAACATATCAAAGAGTATATAAGTAAGATGACTTTACTCTAAAATTGCTTAAGGCATTTTAGATAAAGAGGTCTTTCAAACTTGGGCCCAAACACTCTTCCTTACTACTAGACGAGGCCCATATGCTAAATCTTAATAATTATCATGTTTCTTTTGCATATGATCCACATATCGTCTTATTTTAAATTATAACCAGGAAACAAAACCATATACATTTTGTAAGGTATCTGATTCCTGCATTTGAATTGACTACACTTGGTGGAGTAATGGGAAGATGTTACCAATATTGTTAAATAGCTTTATCTTTTATGAGTAATATAAGTTGTTACAAATACATTTTCAGTAGTGGTGTATTACTACTTATCATATGCCAATATCAACCAGACTCATCAAAGAAAAGACTTTGTTTTATGATTCATGAAATTTTATTATGGTAGAATGGAGGAGGACTAGCCGAGTTTGCAGTTGTTAAGGAGTGTGTCACTGCTTCAAGACCATCAGAAATCTCAGCATCTGAATGTGCTGGCTTACCTGTTGCCGGTCTCACAGCACTTCAAGCACTAACAAAATCCATAGGGATCAAACTTGATGGAAGTGGTGAAAGGAAGAACATTTTGATCACTGCTGCATCAGGTGGTGTAGGTGTTTATGCAGTTCAACTGGCAAAGCTGGGAAACACTCATGTGACAGCCACTTGTGGAGCTCGCAACATTGAATTGGTCAAAAGCTTAGGTGCTGATGAGGTGATTGACTATAAGACCCCAGATGGTACTGCTTTGAAGAGTCCATCTGGTAAGAAATATGATGCTGTGCTTCACTGTGCAGTGCACTTTCCTTGGTCCACCTTTGAGCCTAACTTGAGCATGCATGCCAAGGTTGTGGACATAACTCCAAACTCTGGTTCAATGTTGACATTTGCTATGAAGAAGCTTACGTTCTCGAAAAAACAGCTTGTGCCTTTGCTTTTATTTCCAAAGGGTAAGGACCTTCAATATCTTGTTGATTTGGTCAAGGAAGGAAAGCTTAAATCAGTTATAGACTCCAAATTTCCTCTAAATAAGGCTGAAGATGCCTGGGCTAAGAGTATTGATGGTCATGCAACTGGGAAGATAATTATTGAGTTCTAGACATGCATAGTAATGCACCATAAAAATACACTCTATTATATTATATGAATTGATTCAGCAATACCATGCAGTTTTCTATAGTATGACCTGTTGTAAAGTTACAGCCTGACAGGGCCATCGAATGCCGTCTTTAACGATATATTCATGCGACGATCCTTTACAATTTAACGGGCTCTTATTGAATAAATTCAAGTTCATAAGCTCATTGAACCAGAAATATTGTTAACGTAATCACCAAGGAAAAAAAGGAAGAAGATGAAAAAGAGAAAGTGTGTGAACGAGAGAAAGATAGAGCTGAAGATATTTTAGGTGAGTCTATTATTACTCCAAAATGTATATTACCACTTTTTTAAAAATAATTTTAATATAAAATACTCTTTTTTATTGATTAACTAAATTAATAATAATAGTATTTAAATAAAAAAAATCTTAAATGACGAGTTATAATGGGAGTAATAATAGAACTCCATTAAAATCCTTCAAAATCTTATTTCAACAAAATATAGAGAAAATGAAATCTAAAATAATAATAAATTAATTAAAGTAAAATTAATTGTGTTTAAAACTTTTGGAATACATACATAATATTCAACATGACCTGAGTTATGTATCATTTGTTATATCCCTAAATATTATAAATGATTTAGTTGATCTCAATGCATAGGAAAAAAACTCAGTATCATGAATGTGACTTTTGGAAAGGATGCACTAATTTGATTTTAGCTGCGGTATGTGTGAGCTTTTATATAAATTAATAAGGTAAGATACAATTAAACTAATGAATTTTGGTTTATTTATTGAATTACTCAGCCTCCTCAATAAGGTCTTGGTATAGTTCTCGCTGACGGAATCGCTGTTAAGCATTTCTCTTGCCTTGAAATGTGGCAGTTTTTACTTTCCTAATTTTTGGATTTATCCTTGGGTGAAGTTTTGTAAAATTGAGTTAGAATCAACTTGATTAAGAAGAATTGATTTTGTTTAAAATGAGTTTAAAATCAAGTGATTTATGTTTCGAAACTTGCCTTTAAAAGTAAATTTGTAGTAAAAATTAGTATAAATTTTTCAATTCAACACAAAAGCTACAATTTATCACTTTAGTTTAAATGTGCTTTTAAGAGAAAATTAATTTTCATTGATAGCACCCAAATATCGTTTTTTTAATACAAAATCATGTTACAATGAAATAAATGTGATTTTCTGCTAATTACTCAAATCACTTTTTAAAATGGAACACTAATTACCAAAACATGGTCATCTATTCTCTGTTCTCGCTTTTTTTCTGCTGCGGCTACTCTCATATTTCTCTTAGTTTTCTGTGATTAGATGTGTTTGCGTTACCTTCTGCAACACTGCATTTGTACTGCCAAGGTATACACTTCTCTTTCTTTTATCATTATGTATAATACTCTCTGCTCCCTATACTCAAACGCACCATTAATATTTGAAATGAATAGTGCACTCTCGTCTCTGGCAATGACGTGAACATCACCTAAGCTGGAAGTACATTTGATTGAAGTCAATGACATTGAATTTTTATGTATTTTTTAAAAAAAAATATATTTTAATTTTGCCTCATACTGCAAATGCTGAACTTTAGGTCAGTGGACTTAGCATTATTTACGTAATTAGTAATTGTACTCGCAGAGAGCATATGGTTTATATAACACAAAAATAGAGTTTAATTTTTAACTTCAATGTATTATAATTTTGCCTTCTGTATAGTCTTAGCCAGAAAATAGAAATCTACAATAATTATGTTTTGACGAAATAGAACTTAATAATGCATATCGTCTTAGGCAGAGAATAAAAATCTGCAAGCTATAAAGTGTTGTCAAATTATATTTGGTTTAATGGGTTTAGAATTAAAATTGTTTGTATTTGTTAATTTAAGATTGTACACAATTATGTTTTATGAAATATTGTGAATATGCATGTAAATTATTATCTAAGTGTACTTTAAATTTATGATTTGAATTCAAAAAACCTTAGTTTCCTATTTTGTTTTAGATTTAAAATAATGATTAAAGAATTTATTCTATTGAATCTTAAATTGTCCAAGTTGAACAATTTAAAAACAAATTTTTTTATTGGTTGATTAACATATGCTTCTAAAAATGATGTATGTTATATGTGATGAAATTTTGGTTTGGTACTGTTGCCATTGTCTCTAGGTGCATGCGTAATTATGGTAAATGATATCACATTCAATTATGTATTTAGAGATTAATGTGAAATGATGCTAAAATTTCTCTAAGTATAAAATACTATATTTAAGTAGTAAATGTTGATTAATATATAAAAAACTATCTTCTCGAATGGGATAGTCTTACATGTGAGATAAAATAATGTATTGATTATAACATATGATACAATATTTGTTTGAACAGCATATGGATTGAAGTTGAATGATTATTGATTGTTTGACACAACGATACGAAGGAGTGAAAGAATTTATTAGGTTTTTGATTGAGTATGATATTGATATAAATCTTATTTCATGCCCTTGTTGGTGTTGTCTTAATATGATGTGAGTAACTGTGAAGGATTTGAAAGAACATCTAATATGTAATGTTATTGATGAAAAATATGCTTGTTAGACAAAGTATGGTGAGATACAAGGTGAGAGTGCATATAACATGGAGTATAGTGTTAGATACTCAAAGACATTAATTAGAGATGAAACTGATCATGTTGAAGACATTTTAAATGTTGTTGAAAAAATCTTAGAGATTGTTTAAAGATATTTGAAAGGTTGAAAAATGGGCAGAAATTGTTGGAAGAGCGTCGTTGTTTGTGGAACACATTCTGACTTATTCAAGTTTAGAATTAGTTGTTTGTTTTTGAATAAACCTATTCTCTAAGGATAGGATCCTTAGTTAATTTGTTCTTCCACAGAAATAGCTATGATATAGTCATGGGTCCTTCTTTTACTCCTTTTTCTGTTTCTGTATTAGCTATAAAAAGTCATTTCATTCCATTTAATAAATCAAGCTTAAGAGCTATAATTAGTATTGATATCATCTGACCTCAACAGTGGTATCAGAGCCCATACAAGGGCTTGATACTTAGAAAGCACAAAAACAAAAAAGAAGAAGAGTTGAGTGAAACACATGGCTGACGACAATAGCTTCCTTAGTATTCCAAAGTTTGATGAAGACTATGATCACTAGTCCATACTAATGGAAAAATTGCTGAGATCAAAAGAGTACTGGAGCGTGGTGGAGCAAGGCTATGAAAAGCCTAAAACACTGGAGTCACTCACAGGAGTAGAATGTCGAACCTTGGAGGGGCAAAAGCTAAAGGACTTGAGGGCCAAGAATTATCTGTTTCAATCTATTGATAAGAATATTTTGAAAATGATCACCAACAAAGCCACCTCCAAAGCACTCTGGGATTTGATGAAGCATAAATATCAGGGGAATGCTCGAGTTCAACAAGCTCAACTCCAAAGGCTACGCAGAGAGTTTGAACTTCTAGAAATGCAAAATGGTGAGTGCGTGAATGATTATATCTCTAGAGTCATGATACTTGCAAATGACATGAGAGGAGCAGGAAAGACCATGGATGATGGACATATTGTTGAGAAGATTCTGTGCACACTGTCTGACAAATACAATTATATTATATGCTCAATCAAAGAATCCAAAGATATCAATGAGATGACAGTATATGAGCTGCACAGTTCATTGCTTATACATGAACACAAGATAAAACGGAAGGAAGTGATTGAACAAGCATTGAAGGTTACAAGAGACAGCTCTGCTCTACATGCTGATGAACAATTCGGTAACAGAAGCAGAGGGCGTGGAGGTAGAGGCAGAGGCAGAGCATTTGAAAAATCCACAGTTGAGTGCTATCAATGTCACAAGCTGGGACATTTCTAGTACGAATGTCCCATTTATGCTAATTATGCAGAACACACAGAGCTTGATGAAGGAGAAGAGATGTTGCTTATGTCATATGTGGAAATGCAAGGAGCCACACGAGATGAAATATGGTTTCTGGACTTTGGATGTAGTAATCACATGAGTGGAGATAGGAAATGGTTCACTGAGCTTGATCATTCTATCAGACATAGTGTTAAGCTGGGAAATGACTCCAAATTGAATGTCATGGGAAAATGCAGCATTTGAATGGAAATAGATGGACGAGTTGTGGTCATCACAGAGGTAGTTTACATTCCTGATCTCAAATCAAACCTGCTTAGCATTGGTCAGCTTCAAGAACAAAATCTATCTATACTGATTAAGAATGGATGTTGTAGCATCTATCATGATATTAGAGGTCTGATCATACGAACTATGATATCTGCAAATCGTATGTTTGTGCTTTTGACATCTATCCCCTCTGTCTCTACTAATGTATCAAAAGTAGCCTATCTCAATGTAACCTCTGAAAATGTCACAAGCTTGTGGCATCAAAGGTTTGGCCATCATAACATGAAAGGACTGCAGACTCTTGCCTATAGAAAGATGGTTCAAGGCCTGCCAATATTGAAGAATCAATCCAAGTTGTGAACCATATGTACGACAGGAAAGCAACAATGTGATTCTTTTCAAAAGAAAAGCACTTGAAGAGCATTCAGACCTTTACAATTCATTTACTCAGACATATGTGGTGCAATTACTCCTAAATCTCACAGTCATAAAAAGTATATCATTACTTTTATAGATGATTATAGCAAAAAAATGTGGTCCTACTTTCTACATGCCAAGTCCGAAGCTTTTGATACATTCAAAAGGTTCAAGTCATTAGTTGAAAAAGTGACATGATACAACATAATCTGTTTATGCACCGACAGAGGTGGAGATTTTACTTCATCAGAATTCAATGACTATTATAGCACTAATAGAATCGCAAGACAACTCACTGCTGCCTATTCATCGTAGCAAAATAGAGTTGCAGAAAGAAGAAACCGAACCTTGTTGATTATGGTGAGATGTATGTTCGCAGCATGAGATGTTCCAAAGGAATATTGGCCGGAAGCAGCAAACCTAGTCACTCATGTTCTGAATAGATGTCCAACCTCAGCCTTGCCAAACATGCATTAGTGGTACACCTCAAGGTGTTTGGATGCATAGGATATGTTCATGTTCCTGATGTCACAAGGAAGAAGTTGGATGAGAAGAGCATCAAGTGCGTGTACATGGGAGTCAGTGAAGAGTCCAAAGCTTTTCTTATGTATGATCCGAAAACAAAGAAGATTATCATAAGTCAAGATGTAGTTTTTGATGAAATGAAAAAGTGGGATTGGAAGAAGTCAGGAGAGACTAATTCTCTTGATCTTATGTGCGAAGAAAACGAAGAGAATAAGAAAAATGAAGATTCAAAAGCTGAAAATCAAGTAGATAATGACAAGAAAGAAGAAACTATAGGAGATGAGAGAAGCAATGTCCCTGAAAGGAGAAGAAGACTGCCAGTGTGGATGAGAGACTATGAGTCTGGAGCCGGATTGTGAGAAGAGGAAGAAGAAGAAGTGGAGCAGCTCACCCAGGAGATGCAACAACTTGCTATGTTTGTGTCAAATGATCCCACCACCTTTGAGGAAGCAGCCAAAAGTTAGGTATTGAGGGATGCAATGGAGAATAAGATTGCAGCAATTGAGAAAAATGGAACATGTGAACTAATAGATCTGCCAACAGGAGCAAAGAAGATTGGTGTTAAGTGGGTATTTAGGACTAAGATAAACGAAAAAGGATAAGTAGACAAATGTAAGGCTTGTCTTGTAGCAAAGGGGTATGCTCAACAAGCTAGAATTGATTACACTAAGGTATTTACACCTGTGGCAAGATGGGATACCATTCAACTAACTTTGTCCATTGCAGCTAGTCGAGGATGGAAAGTTTATCAACTCAATGTCAAGAGTGTATTCCTACACGGAGAGATAGCAGAGGAAGTGTATGTGGAACAACCGAAGGGATATAAGGTGACAGGTGAAGAATATAAAAAATATGGCTGAATAACTTGCCTGTCATGTTTTACGAAGGAACAAGGAGGAGTCATATTGGCTTTGCACAAGCTGAAACTTAAGCAATGTGGAGCGAAACTTCTGAAACCATGCTCGCTGTGCTTGTTTTAAGCCATAAAGAGAGCGATTCAACTTACAAACCTCCTTAGTAGAAGAGGAAGACATACCAGGAGGTGGCTTCATGTATATAGCTTCTTTGAGATCACCATGGAGAAAAGCATTTTTGACATCTAGTTGATAAATAAGCAATTCTTGTGAGGCAACAATGGCAATGATGGTGCGAACAGTAGTCATTTTTGCCACAGGAGCAAATGTCTCCTCATAGTCAACCCATTACTCTTGTCGATTTCCAAGAGCAACCAGCCTAGCTTTATAGCGATCCAGAGTCCCATCGGAATGAAGTTTGACTGAGTAAACCCATTTACACCCAATGGGCTTAATATGAGGTGGACATTGAACAATGTCCCAAGTTTGATTTTCTTGAAGAGCACGAAGTTCCTCTTGCATCGCTCGCTGCCAACACTCATTAGAAGCTGTATGTGAGTAAGAAGATGGAACTGAAATAGAAGTCAAAGCAACAATATATGATGTATGATAAGAACTATACTTATCCGAAGGACGAGAAACTCGGCTGGATCGTCTTAAAACTAATGGAGCAGCAGTAGATTGTAGGTTTGGATCAGAAGGGGACAGTGATGAAGGAGGACGTCGTGTGTACACCAATCCAAGCTTGAATCGATTTATATGAGATATCATGTCATCAAAATAGGAAGAGTAACAAACTCAAGTAATGAATAAACATGAGTTGGGAAGAAAAATTGATTTTCAAAGAAAACAACATTCCGAGAAACGCGTAGTCTTTTTGAATTAGGATCATAGAAAACAAAACCTTTGTGATGAGCACTATATTCCATAAATACACATTTAACATATTGAGCAGAAAGCTTATGACGTTCGTGAGGTGGCAAATGAAAAAAACAAACACAACCAAAAGTATGCAGATGTTTGTAGGACGAATGACTATGATAAAGATGAAAATATAGTGTGTCAAAATTCAGTGTTTGGGAGGGTAAACGATTAATGAGATAAACTGCAGTAGATAAAGTTTCTACCCAAATATTAGGTAGAACAGAAGATTCAAGCAACAAAGTACGAACCACATCTAAGAGATGACGATTTTTCCATTCCGCCACTCCATTCTGCTGGGGTGTGTATGGACAAGAACATTGAGAGAGAATACCTTTTTTATTCAAAAAAATCATGTAGTGCATTAGACATGTATTCTCCACCAGAATCAGATCGAAGTACCTTAATAACTGTAGAGAATTGAGTTTCAATATATGTAAGAAAAGTCTGAAAAATAGAGAGAAACTCAGATTTAGAGCGAAGAAAATAAATCTAAATAAACCGGCTATAGTCATCAATAAATGTCACAAAATATTTATAGTTGGCATGAGAAATAATAGGTGTGATCCCCCATACATTACTATGAATAGTATCAAAACAGTATTCTGCACGACTACCAATTATTGGAAACAGAAGTATTTTACTTTTTCCCAGTTTACATATAGAACAATCAAAAGACACGGATTTAGCGTTTCCCAAACAACTAGAATTCAACAAACGAGACAAAATGACAAAATTGGGATGTCCCAACTGCCAATGCCATACTTCACTTTTATTGACATGAGTAGAAAATGCCACATGATAAGAATAGAAAATTGCAGAGGAAACAAACGTCCAACTTTAGGTCCCTTTGCGATCATTGTCCCCGACACTAGATCCTGCACACAACATCCATCAAGAGAAAAATGTACATCACAATTATTTTCCACTAATTGTCCAACTGAAATGAGATTATTAGAAATTTCAAGGGATACAAAGGCATTGTTCAAAATTGGAGTGATATCTCCAACAACAGTAATGGGTATAGTGTGTCCATTAGTGACCTGGATTTGTTTGGAACCATTGTATGGGCGAACATTTTGCAAATAATTTTCTGAGCTAGTCATATGGTTTGAGGCTGCAAAATCAATAAGCCAAGAATTATATGATGATTTTCGTTTACCTTGAAGCCCCAAAGCAGAGAAAGCAGAAATAATCATTTGTTGCACCATGTCAGTAGTAAGAAAGGTGGTTTCAACACTATTATTGACTACAGAAGGAGGTGAGGTCCCATCTGTAATTTGACCAAAAGATGAATTTCCTATAGTGGGTTGGTAGGCAATAGGCTGGCGATTTTGAGGTCGAATTGAACACTCTTTGAGAATGTGTCCTGGCTTTTTGCAATAATTGCAGGATTTTTTTGGTACATTGTGTAGCAATGTGACCATAATTCTTACAACTATAACATTGAACTTTACTCATATCCCTACATTTGTCTCTTCTTTGAGCCAAAAAGGCTAGAGGTGCAGCAGTCAACTTGTCTTGATCAAGAGAGGCTTGAGTAAAGAGACGTTGTTCTTCATGAATCAACTCACCAAAGCAATCATCCAAGGTAGGAGAGGGATGCTGATTCATCAAATGAGAACGAATATTCTCAAAATTCGGTTGAAGTTTCATCAGAAACTTATCACGTTTGCTAACTTCATGAACAACCAATATATCAGAAAGAGAAGTTGTGGAAACAGTAGCACAAACAATATCAAAAAATTCAGCCCATAAATTTTGAAATCCAGAAAAATATTCTTGAATAGACAAGTTTCCTTGAGAGTAGTTAGCAATTTCGCACTCCAACTGAAATCTTCTAGCTGAATTTGTTTGATTATAAACCTTCTTCAAGTAGTCCCACATCGTTTTGGTAGTTTTGTGTGGATGTAAATGAAGAGCAATCTGAAGATCACATGACATTATAAGCCATGACATAACCCGAGCATCCTTGAATTTCCATTGAACTAACTCTGTAGCATCTGTGGGGGCTGAGACAGTGTCATCTATATGTCCCCATAACTCCTTCCCAGTAACAAATAATTAAAACTGAAATTCCCAAGTTGCATAATTTTTTCCAGTAAATTTGACACAAAATTCAGGTGTACTACCAATCATTACAAAGTAATGAATGGAAAAAAAAAAAAAACCTTGACAAACAAGAAAACCCCTAAGAGAACAAAGAACAAGAAAACCAAGGCTCAGAAAAAAAAAGACACGAACACCCCACCCAAAATT